AGTAGGACAGGATCCTAAACTCCAGTACTGGATTACATCAAAACCCACATCACTCCTGAGCTCCAAATAAAAAGAAAGAACCCAGAAGGATCAGGGAATCACTGCTCACTGTACTTCTAATACAAGTTTGAGAATCAGTTAGAACGTGTGCAATTTAGCACAGAAAATAAACTCACTAGAAAGCAGAGACTAGTCACTCCAGCCAGCCCTAGCACAGAACTCAACTGCTCTGAGCATATTCCACAAGTTTGTTGTATCCCTATTTTGTTGGTTTAATGAGGAAATGATGTATAACTTCATAGCAGTAGGGTTAGTGTACAGACCTAACGAGGTAAGGAATCAAGTCTAGTTTGCCAAGGTTTGGGCCTTATGTCTTAGCTGTCTATCTATAATTAACTTCACGCCACTACAAGTCTCTAAATACCTAATGGGGAAGTTCAAACAAATGAAATTTCAACACAAAAAAAACTAAAGACAAAAAGTTTCGAAAAATTTCCCTTTTCTTAAGGATAAAAATGGATCATGGATTTTAGTGGCATTTCAAGTATGTTCGTCACTACAAGCTATGGTGATGAACAAATTTAGCTTGAGAATGTTTGCTTAGCCTGCACTATGATTTTTTTACTCTAAGTAAAAAAAAAAAAACCTTATTTCCACTTTATTTCCAGAAACTAGGAACTGCTGTTTCTGATTTGTAAATCTTTTGATGGATATATGAGCTCTCAGTGAAACTTTCATAATTTAACATTTGCCAACAACTGGAGTCACACAGGTAGATAGACCACAACTTACAAGAAAGGCAGAGGGTGATAGAGCACCTGGATATGATCAAAATATGTAATATACATGAAGGGAAATGCCACAGTGACACCCAATAAAAAGAATAGCAGAATGAAAAGCAGTAGCGATTATAGAAGGCTCATGAATATCCACTAAGGGAAGCAGTATCACATGAATCAACACTAGATTGTTTTCTGGTCTCCTATGGCCCTATTTTTAAACTTAGTTCCAAAATATTCTTTAGTGTTTATCTTAGCCAACACTGAATTAGGAAACTGAGGCAGCATAGACTTTGTTGGCCAAAAAAGTTGAGTTAGTCCTGTCATATAAACTTCATTATTTTAGGACAGAAACAAGCTCTAAGAGAAAACTGTCCTAACAGATCCTTAGAAAGACAAAAGCCAAAAGCTTTTGTTGAACCAAGGTATCTCATTTTAGCTGATAATGGAAAACGCCAAGTTAACCAAATGATTGCTTATAGAAGCTGCAAACTACGTAGATGTCACTACATCCTGTAAAGGTTTTACTCACATTTTAAAGTCTTTTAAACTGATTCTTTTTTTTTATAATGGTACTGAGGATTGAACCCAGGACTTTCATACTGAGCTACATCCCCAGCAGTTTTTATTTTGGGATGGGGTCTTGATAAAGTTGCTCAGATTAGGTTAAACTTGAGAATGGGATTACAGGAGTGGGGCACCATGACTGGTTTATCTAAGCCGATTTCTTTGTGTGCTGAGCACTGATCGTGACCCAGCTGTGTAATACAGGCAGAATGGTTTGAGCAACTGGTGAGAGGAGAATCGTGTGCCGTGGAGTTTCCTTATACCCTCATTCTTTTTGAAAAGCAAACTAGTACCAGTGTAGCAATCGTTTCAGTACATCTTGTAGCACTCCAAATAATGAGGTCAGTTTTTAGGGGAAAAACATAACATTTACTTTTCAATAAAATCAGTGGTTTAAATGCTCTCTGTTTATATTTTCTCATTTCATCAACAATTTATCTTTGAACTGTATGTTTTGGAGGTGATTTGCATTTTCCAAAAAAGGTAAGTTAAAATTCCCTATAAATAACTCACGGAGTACCCAGAAGTTATTCCAAATGTTTTCTCCAACGGAAGGTAAATAACAGCAGAAATACAGTACTAACCAGGAGCGTTTTTTTAAAACACTGCTTCTGTTTCAGAGAGAAGGGAAAAATGCACATGAACTCGATCCAACTGCAGGTACAGACACAGATACACAGGCACGTGAGCACGTCCTCCAAAGTGCCACGCTGCAGCGTAATGAGATGCATTCCATCAAAATGCCCATTTTATCTAAAGTGTAAAAATAATAAAAAGAATTGCCTGAAAATACTGCTCATCTCTAGCCATTTAATGTGCTTAGCTTTGACTTCTGCCTCGTAACTGCTGAACACGATGGCAATTTTCCATAACAACATGCATCTCAGATGATTCACTGCTGAATTCAAACATATATTCTTTTCACTATAATGAAAGAAATAGAAGTAAGTCTGCCTGCTGAGAAACACTGATGATCCAACAATGATAACAGAGGGGGAGATACGTATATGGATATTCTATTTGGGGAGACGCTGCAGAGGAATAGTGCTTACTGGAACTTCTAAAAACTTGACAAAACTGCAAAGACTCATATATGCTCATCCCATATAATTTCTCTGAACTTAATTACCTCTCCTTATACATAGAGGAACTCAGTAGAGAAAAACAACTATTTTACTTCTTAAATTACTTAGCATACATACATGTGATTACACTGAGTTAAACAGTGTCCCTGACAAGTTCATGTCCACGTAGAACCTGTGAATGAGACTTTACTTGGAAAGAGGGTCGTTGTAAAAAAAAAAAAAGAGTTAAAATGGGTTCATGCTGGATTAGCATGGGCTTTAATCCAACGACTAGTGTCCTAATAAGTAGAGAGACATTTGGACAGACACATATAGAAAACAGGAGGCCAGGTGGAGACCCAGACAGAGCATGGAGTGATGCCAAGACAGCTGCCAGAAGTTGAGGACAGATTCATGAGGCTGTTTTTCCCTCAGAGCTGTTAGGCAGAGTCTGGTCCTGCTAACACATGGACTGAAACTGTAGCCTCCAGAAGTAGGGGGGAATCAATTTCCATTTTTATAGGTAACTCAATCCATGGAAATTTATTACAACCACCTCAGGAAACCAATCAAGTTGGTATTCTCCTGACCTCCAAATTAATTATACAAATACTGATCCTATTCAGCTATGGCTAGGAAGCTGCTCGTTACTCTTTTCTCAAATTGAGATGAAAGACAATTATAAAAGGAACCCAGGAACCTTCAGAACACATAATATTCAAAGCAACCAACCTTTATTTTTCTGAAGTGTCTACTCCTTCCGTGAGGCCCCAAAGTAACACTTAGTATCTACTCTTAAAGTAATACTTCATGAACAAAATATTGAGGAAGATGATAATTTGCAGGTAGTCTATCAAAATAATAGTCTCAATTCACATAGGGAGAAATGAAGGTGAGGGAAGAAGGTAAACACATTTTGGAAAATATAAGCCAACTATTAAACCTCAAATCAGGTTGCAGCATATAATAGCTTGTGCCAAAGAATAGCTGCTCAATAAATGCTCAATGAATTAGTTAATTGCTAATTAAAAGTATGGCAAAGAGTATTAATGATTATGCCTGTTCAGTCTCAATAGTCATGTTCTAAACAAGTCTGCACGTCCAATTAATCTGTAACTCTATTAACGCACAATTTTTATATTCAGTGAGTTAAATATATATGCCAAGAATTTGTTCACTTATTTGACAAGCATTTTTTCAACACTACCATAGACAAGGGCCTATATGTCCAACACTGAACAAACAGATATGGCCCTTGCCTTATTAGAGCTTCAAGGCGGGCAAGAAGAAGCAGGTAGCATGCAAGGAATCACACTAGGGACTACAAGTGATTGTGGCAGAACAGGTTGCTACAAGGACTCTTAACAGAAACCACTCACTTGGGTCAGGGACAGAGTCCAGGGGTCCACAGAAAGATTCCTTTAGAGAATTTATATTTGAGATTGGAGGATGAGTAGGAATTTAGCAAAAAAGAAAAAATCGGGTAAAAGAGGTATCTGAAAAACATTTTTAAAAATTCCACTGTGGACCAACCTAGCGCCCTGGCCAGAGACCTGGCCAGACACAGACTACAAAGGGAGTGCAGTAAAATCACAGCAAGCTTGGTCCGTCTTGGAAGATGCAGAAGCTTTATTTCACCCAAGAGGCCAAGCAAGACTTTTTAAAATAGCAGTGCAAGCTTAAGGTGTCAGTCTAAAAACTTACATCAATTTTATCTCCTCCTAAAAACTGTAACCAAAACTACATTAAAGAGACTATTAAAAAAAGATATGAGTCCACTCAGCAGCAGCAAAGGTATGGAAGGTAAAACAGCTGATGAACAAGAAGTAACTAATTTAACATATTCAGCAAAGCCAAATAGAAGTCTTCAGCAGAAAAGCTGAGCGCTAACCCTATTAAGACTGCAGAATCCTCAGAAGGCTCACAAGCTACTCAGACTGGCTGGCCTGAAAATGAGCGTGGAAAGGAACTCACGGAATAAACGCAGGGATCTGTGCGGGAGCAGCCAGACCTCTGCGTGTTCTCCTGCGGCCACACGGAACACAACACCCTCCCCCAGCCGTCCTTGGAGAGGATGGAAACACTAAGTTCGAAGCATGATCTTACAAGTCTTAAGAACTTGGCAATACATTTCACCTTAGATGTGTTTCCTAGTCCTTCCTCTCCACAGGAGCACCCAGAGGAAGGCACCGCATGCAACAGAGACTCCTGACAAGTTTCCTGACCCATCAAGAACTAAACCACCAAGGAGAAACGACACTCTCAATCGTTTTCATCAAACAAACAGTAAAATTAGACTGGCTGTATCTTCTTTGGTTTCTTGGTAGGAGATGAGGGGATGAAAAGGAGATTTATATTATAGAGAAAAACAATAACCTGCAAAAATTCAAGTCAACCTCTTACAAAATGGATATTTTAAAGAGGATTGTTTTAAAAAGAATAAAGTAGAACAGACAAACTCAAACATCTGAAAAGGGAGTTGGCCGAGAAGGGAGCTTTTCTAACAGTGAGACAGGATTTCACAGAGAATGCTGTTTCAACCATTTACCCTTGGAAAGAGCAGCCCAAGTGCTGAGAAGTAACAACTTACCTTAAATACTTCCATTGGAAGAGGAAACTCCGCAGCAGCAATAAGGGATTTTTCCAGAGCACATTTCCACTCAGAGGTCATCTTCAAAGGACAGATCTCTGTGTCAACAGCAAACCACAGAAGAGTTTAAGGACCACAACATTCTGCTGGGTGGCTCTTGAATTTTATCTTTCTTTCCTTCCATGACACCCCGGCACTCTCAGAAATCATCAGAGTTCAGACTCTGCCTGCCAGACATGGCCACCTGCTAAAGCGAGCTTCAGAAATTAAATAGCAACGTGGGATTCTGCTATCAGAAATGAAGAATAAACTTAATACAGCTCTTCCTCAGGGAACATTTGTATGCATTTTGCGAGCACTCTAAGTAATTTAATGGTATTAATCACATTAGCAGAACCTTCGGTCATCTACAGCCCCAGATGCCACACGTCACTCCGGATGTACTAGTACTGATGAAGAACTTATTATCTGGTTAAGTTTCTAAACTACAAATGACTCTTGTCTGGTATTTGCAGTTATTGCTGCATATTTTCCACCAAACCCCTAAGGTCTCATATGCTAAAAATAGTCCATATAAGTCAGGAAATTATTAAAGGGTAAATTAAAATTTACCAACCAAGTTTCATATTTACACTTGAAATGCTGCTAACACACCACATGTTGGCCACATTTTTCCCCAGGCAGTGGGGAAAGAGAGATTTATACACAGAGGTTACATAGTCTGAATGCAAAATTAAAAAGGAAAAAATGTTGAGCACTGTTTTTACCTATTGCTGAAAGTGCAGAGGAATTTTATGTCCTGCTCTCAATAGATTTAAGACCTTATCAAAATAGGATTTGCAGAAGCACTCACTAAAGCAGATATGTTTATACCTTCACTATATCAACCTAGGCTACTTCAGACAGACAGTTAGGATATGAATATGAATTTAAGCACAGTTAAAAGGCAACATTAAACCTTTGGGCTATATTTTTAATTTCTTGCATGTCTGCTTTTTTAGCACAGAGTCATATATTTGGATTCTCATAGCTTCGGAACTCACCTTGAGCTTTAAGCCCCTCTGTTCTAGCAGGTTTCTTTTTTAATCATTTCAGGACATAATTAAAGTGAGTATAAAATGCTACTAGAACAAGCCAAGTCATCAAGGCATTGCCCATTGTCATTGTTCATGACACAAAGACACAAAAAGTGTGATTTTTGATGAAATAGCCTCTGGTTGTACATATTGTCCGTAATAACCGTTTCTAGCATTTGATGTACTCTTCAACCTCTGGAGAAAATTCTATTTTTCTAATTGTATATTCTATGCCAGAACAAAAATAGATGTGGTTTTGCTTAGCAGTGTCTGGGGACACATAATAGGACCTCAGTAAATGAATGAAGAGGATCTCAATAAATGAATGAATGGCCCAGGTGAGAAGGGAAAGGAGACACTGCTCGTCACAAGGTCCCACAAAGTAGGCAAGGGGGCCAGTTCACAGCACCCTACGAACTGCTCCCTGAGGGTGGAAGAGGTCCCTGAAACCGACGGCTCAATTCAAGGCACAGCAGCAAAGCCTTCAAGGAGCGGGGGGCAACTGAAGAGGGTTGAGGGGAGCAAGGCCCAGCTCACACCAAGGCAGCGGCCAGGAGAGGGGTGCAGGGAAAAGCAGTGCCTGAGACAGGAGTCCTCCTCGAGAAACAGCAAATCACCCTGCTGGCCAGCGGGAGTGGGCAGACAAGAAGGTTGATCTCACTGCGACAGGAAAAGGACCAACTCCTGAGAAACAAGGTGGATTTCCAAAGCCAAGACCAGAGAACAAATCTGAAGACACAGAGGGAGCAAAAAGGGAAAAGCTCGGACTCAGGGTGTTTGCACCCTTCGTGCTCTTGCTCCATAATCCTGACCAGTTTTTCCCTGACTGTAACCTCCGAGTAAGGGAAGATTCTGAGACAGGGAAGCGGGTGAAAGAGTAGTTATAAAACTACTCAAGTTTGACTCAAGGTCAAAAGGAACGGAAATCCAGTATGGATTAAATCCAAACTATCAGAACCCTGGGGCTGCCAGAGTCTCCTGCCCCACTCACACACCAGCACTGCAGAACTGGCTCCTCCATCCGTTCAGAGACAGAAGGAATGCGCACCCTGGGTTCTAGGCGATTTCTGCCTCTGTCCTACAACATTAAGTTTCTCTGCCTTCTTTCTGACACTGAGTCCCTAGAGTGAAATCCAACCCCATAGCAAGGCTTCCTTGTTTCCTGAAAAGGTGAAACTCGGCTGCAGATCTGTCAATCTGCTCAGCCACCTGCAGAGGCTCAACACCCCGGAGAGGCAAGGAGCAGAGAACAGTGTTCCCCGTGTGGGCTATGCCAGCGCGTTTACAGACAATCAACAGCTCCATTAAAAGGACATAAAACATTTTCTTTTACACAATTGTGTGGCAGGTGATTTAACAGCGTACAGTACCCCAATCTCTGTTTGTTGAGGAAATCACAAGCAATTAACACATGTCCTCGTTCACCTGCAACTAGAAGCCTACAGGAAAATGAGGCCAGCTCCCTCCATGCAAGGATCTGGGCAGCCGTTCAGTAAGAAGTGCTGCAGAAGGCAGGGATGCGGGACATAACCGTAAACAAACAAGTAAATAAATGACCAGAAGCAAGCAGAGGCCTGGAGGAGTGACCCCTTCGTCTGTGCGCCCAACGCCTGCCACACTTCTGCTCCTCCTCCTCCACCAGCCCTTACCACTGAGGAGGGACCACTGCATGGTTAGGACAGTAAACCTAGGAAAGTATTACGCGCTGAATGCTTGCGGCCTGCCCCAACTCACACGGAGAAGCGCAACTTCCCAATGTGACAGCGTGAGCAGAAGGGGTCTCGGAAAGATGATCAGGGTTAGGAGGTTACCTGGCAAGGACCCTCGAGGCGGGACTGGTGTGCTAGCTAACAAAGGATGACACAGCTCTCCCTCAAGACACACTGACTGAGGACACAGCCCGAAAGTGACTTTTTCCAAGCCACGCAGAGTCCTCACTAGACCCTGACCATGCCAGCACCCACAGCTCCGGGCTCTACCCTCTAGAATTGTGAGAAAATCCATGTATCTGCTGAAGCCACGCAGCCTGTGATGTTCTATTATGGCAACCCAAGCGGACAAACACTGAAAGCACCCAGTCTTTTTGGAAAGAGAAACAATTTAGGCAGAAACTATTTAAGTTAAGAGTCACAAGCTTCCTGACTCTGGGAACTATTTAAAACCTTTTTTTTAAATTTGCAATGTTTGAGAGAAGGATTTTGAAAGGAAAAAATATGAAACCGATGCTAGAAAGGGGAGGGGGCTAAAAAGTTTCACCTCTTTAGAGGCTACAGGGACACATAAAACCTATCTTGCTTTCTGAACTTCTAGAAAGTAGCAAAGCAGGGGTCTTAAATGACCCCTGACTTCCACGAGCCACTAAAACTTCTTGAAAAACCAAAGGCATAAGCATAACACTCTGATCAAGTTTGAATCTCCAGAATATGCCAATTCCTTGATGCACCTTTTATCACTCAGGCCCAGCAAACGAGTAATTATCCCCACTTTGCAGGGTTCAATGGCTTCTTCCACTCTCTCCCGTCCCAAGCACCAGAAAGCCGTGTCCCCTAATTTGGGGCCGGACATTGAAAGACTCAATAACTATACACACTCAGAAGTGGATGGTATCAAATCCAGCACCTTCTCCCGAACGAGTTTCTGAAGAATAACTTCCCATCTGCACCCTGTTGTTGGTTTCTATTACCCCTACGAGGGCTGAATCGCTGGGAAATAATTTTCCCATAAAAAGTCAAGAGGATAAGTAAAGCCAAAAGAATAGTTTTTAACAGCAACGAGAGTACTAGTGGGGATGCAAACTGAAAACAGTGTTGGGAGGGACCAGCCGGCACAGCCTTCTCCTCCAAGTACGCGCTGGCATCCACTACCAGCCCCTGCCGCTACCCTTCCAGCTCGACTCTGCACTGTCCGTGAATGCCGGATACTTTGCATCAATTAAATAGTGTTTGAGAATAAAATGAGAATTGTCTATGCAAGTCTAAAATGTTATTGCCACCTATATTTCATTGAAGGAAATGGTGCTACCACGCAAGTTGTACAAGTTATACTGGGACCTGAAATTAATCTACACAAATCCAAAGTATCAGACTCCATTCCCACGGGTAAAAGCCTAGGCAATAACTGCCTTCTCCCAGGGGAGCAGTTCCACTGAATGAGGCAAGAGAATCCAGTTTTTATCTTCTAACTAAAACGAGTTTAAGGAACGTTCTGAATGTTTTTTCACCTCTTATTTTATTCCTCCCCAACATAGCCCTTCTTGCTAACAATTTAAATGTTGGAGAAGCGAGCTTCTGATGATAAATGCCTCTTTCAAAGGCACTAAGGACCTGCATAAACTTTAGTGAAAGGAACAGCTTATGTCCAGAAAATTTTAAGACAAATAAGCATAATTTATTCCTATTCTAAAAAAATGTGAAATTATCTCAAGGACAGAACTCATAAGTAAGTATTTACAGGGACATTTTCCCTTCTGAGACCCAGGATTTCACAGGAAAAGAGATGACAGAGGACATAAGAAGCCATGTGACATTATTTGTTTTGCTGTAAATTTTTACACAGACAAATGCATGTTTCTCCTCCAATTTGTAAAGCAATTAGACACTAAGCTGAGATTTAGACACCCACCTTTCCCCACAAAGTAAATTTTTTCTGCCAGGTTGTGAATCCCAAAGCAAACCCAAGCCCAGATCTCTCCTCACAGTACGCCTGGGCCTTTTGTTTGTCTGCATACGGAACTGCTCAGAGCATAAAAGGATTTCTTGGCTGCCTCTCAAACTGTTAGCAACAACAATGTGAATATAATATAATACCAGGTTATGTGTCTGTACACCTGTCAGATTTAACACAGATACAAACACACAGGATCCAGAACCAGGAAACTCTTTCCAATTAACACCCTTGAGTGACATAAAAGGTATGCATAACCTCTCATTTTCACATACTCGAGACTAACACTGGCAACTATAGGAGGGAAATTTTACTTTTAATAAAGTAAGGCACTAAGTACTTCCTCCAAATATACCTACAAAACTGACCAGAATGAAGACCAACAGTTTCTGATAGAAAGGAGTACTTCTTCTGTGGGTTAGCATCTTTAACTGCATAAAAATCCAGAAGCTTTCCTCTGAGGGTTCCCATCAAAAGGTCGGTAAGACCCATGCTGATCAGCAACGAACACAGAACCTGGGGAATCTGAACTGTAGCACCCGCTTCCTATCATCCAGGAAAGCTTGAATGAGTAGCTACCCAGCCTCATCTTTATTTGCTGTGAAATAAAGTTCACACCAGATACTCGGCACCTTTTTGGAATCAAAACAAACAACATAGCAGATGTAAAAATCACCTGGTACATAGTAAACATCCAAGAATGGTTATTTTGTAAATATTGACATTTTTGACTAGTTCGGTATGTCAAAAAGCATAATGCACTATTTTCTCCAAGTAAGTCTGCGCAAAGATAGTGCACTGAAGCTATCTAAAGTGGATGGTGTTCTGGGGTTTGGTGGGTGGGGGTCATGACGAGCTCCTTGAGCATTTCCTGGTCAAATGGATTATATAATGATACGCACGTGATTCAGATATTCAGATCCATGGATGAATGGATGGATAGGTAATTAGATGAATGAAAATAGAGACATATGAATGGAGAGATGGGTTGATGTGAATAGATAGGTGGAACTGGAATTGGTGATTGGGTAGTGTAGTGGGGCAGTGAGAAAGAGAAGGATATATACAGATGAATAAGTGGACAAGTGGATAGATGGGCAGATGGAGACTATGGAATCTACTCGCAAGATTACCAGAATCCCTAAGGAAAAAGGGGGAGAATATGTTCAAAGTCCAATCTACTATGTCCTTCATTTGTGAACTAGTGACTCCAAAGAACTAAATAAACTTCCCTAAGGCTTCTAACATTACTCTCTCCATTGAGAATGCTGCTGGGTAAAGTTTTGGATTTTATTCTCTACACAAAGTATGTGGGAGTTAACAAGCTTAAAATTCACATACTTGGATGTAAAAGATGCCACAGAGATAAGAAATTCTCCAGAGACATATCCAGAAAAATATCACCTGTTTTAGTAAAACACTTTACAACAGCAAGATCTTTGGCCCTTACCTGAAGGAGGGTCCATTCTGTATTTATTCTCTTGACACCAACCAACTGGTCGAAGTCTGTAATCCAAGTAAAACAACCACTGGTCATAGGATTCAGTGTCCTCCAATCCCACATAGCGAAGGCGTAATCTTCCTCCAACATTTTCAATCACACTAACTATCCAGTACTGAAAAGGGTTCTGAGAATCCTGAAGTTCTATTAAGGAATCAACTGTAATGAGGTCTATAGGGCCTTTCCCTCGCAGAGGCTGTTTAAACAGAAGCAAAACTCCTTATTTTAAACTTTATTTTAAGGTTCTCATGGAAACAGATGACAGCAGAAGATAATATTTTTTTCACACCATCATCCAAGCTACTGGCAAACAGTCTGGTGTTTCCCACCACCCCCATCCTCTGCACAGCCATTACCCACCCCACCCCTTCCCCTTCCTCCCTCACACACATCCATGTACACAGCACTGTACCCAACAACAAAAATCACAAGAAATAGAAAATAACAGTTTATGCTTCAAACAAATCACCCTTCCCCGGTAAACTTGCATTTGTTAAAAAACAATACACTTTTAAGAATTATATCCAAATTTTCCTGGAGCTAGAAAACATGTGGTAACAAAATGTCTACTTTTCAAATAGATAGATATATCTAATGCAGGGCAATAAACTTAAACCAGGACTCATCGACAGACCTTCATCTTCTGGTGGCCAATACTCTAATAATCAAGACCCTCTGTTATTTGACTTGGTGACTCTGTATGACCATGTGTAGATGAGATGTCTAATACACTTCATTATTAGTGAAATCTGACTACTATGTAAAGTTACTTCTACATTTAATCACTTAACCTGGTAAATGGTTTTGAAGGTACATGATTACTGACCTTCCTAAGGAAAGCTCTTGGCATATGCTAACATATGAAAAGGGTGTTTGTTCAGCCAGCCTTATAGGCAAATATATTTTCATAAATTAACATAATAAGACAATGTGTCCCTTTGAAAAGGTGAACAATCGTCATTTTGGTTTGTTCACCTAACAAACTAGCAGCTATTAAAATAAACAAAACTGTCATAAAACAAAAGCTGTTTATGAATATCAGCTGATGGTACTCTGAAGTATCAACACTATTTTTGAGAAGGTTAAAAAAAATATTAACACTGTCAAAATCTGCACCTTATTCCCAGTTATTCATCAAGCTTTTTCATGTCTCAGAGACACTCTTAAGATAGGTTTGATAATGTTCAATACATAACACTTAGTCATCATCTATTCAAAGTTATTCATAGGATTTTGTTTACATATGTACAAGATAATGGGAAGACATCCTTACACAAAATTTTAAAATGCGTTCACATAGAGCACAACTTCCATTTATTGACCAGGGAAGATTTCTAATCTGTCAACATTCAAATCCTGTCAACTAAGTAATTTATTACAAAATAGGAATATCCAGGCTACCTGAGTAAAGATATTGTGTGTACACATGTATCTGCAGAAGGATATATGCAAAGGTGCCATTAGGTCTGAGTTCACGGGGCAAGGATGCTTCAGAGACAGAATAGATGCATAATAGCAATACATACACCTTCCAGTAGGTTGGCAGGTGCTGTCCGAGAGCCAGTCAAATCACGTATGAGGAATTCTGTCCAGTCTGTGTACTTCTCTTTGATGGCTGACAAGATAAGGGAGGAAAAAAAATTTTAACACATCAGTAAAATATTAAATAAATTTAAAATCACTGCAGTTTTCTGTATGTTGGTGTAATTTCAACACTTTCCTTAATTTTAAGCACCATGCTTCACTAAATAGGACTGTAAGTGGGACAATGAATCTGTCCACAGGTTGTGACTTTACACCCAGCAAGTGCCTGGGCACTTGGAGATCAAAGAGTCGGAGGGCCTGAGCTCTGACAGCCTGTTTAGAATCTCCTGGGAACACCAAAGCAGGTATTACAAAGCATGTCATTCAGCGGGTTCTGTGAAGAAAGAGATGGATGAGGGACAGAGAAATCCAGAAAAACTTTTAAATGAGAAAATAAAACCAGGCTCTCAATTAATGAAAGGGTTATCCAGTGGGGGAAAAGGAAAGTTTTTGTCCAGGGTGAGAGAAAACAGTGCATGCTAATCAGACAGAAATGGAGAAAGAAAGTAATCAGCAAGGCTGCGGTGAAGTTCAAGCAAGCAGCCCTGGAAAATCATGCTGAACGGACAGCTGAGAAGGTAGACAAAGACATTTAACAAATGAGATCTCTGCATATAGTGAGTCTGGCAGTACTGTGAGGGTTTAAATGGTAGCTAAACAGTTCAAAAGCAGGCTGTCACAGTTACACAAGAACGAAAGAGGCAGGGTCTTCAAGTGGGGGCATCGCTGTAAACGGAAGAATTGAACTTGAGTATTTTTTGGAAAACAAAACAAAACAAAACAAAAAATCCAATCTGGCCCTGGAGGCCAGCATCCTACATGTGCTTAGGACCCAGGACCTGAGGCAGTATCCCTTTGTGATGACTCTCCTAAGCTACAGATCTTCAAAACCTTAGCAAAGACAACCCCCATTCCTGAGGGTCTCAGCCCTTCCAGACGTGCAAAGTCAGCCAGAGCAACGCTTGCTTCAGATTCCACCCAGGCACACTGGGGTTCTCACCTTCCCACCGCAGGGAGAGTTGAGTAGCAGCAGATGAGCACAAAACAAAGATCAGCCTAAAAGTTTCCCACTGAGGACAAAACGCACAACCGTCCCTGATAAATACACACTTATGTGATAGGAATCACATGCCAAAAGTACAAGTCAAGCAATAAATGGTCCTGCGTTTGGCAGGACTTCCGTCTATATCCACTCTGAGAAAATCAATTTTCCTCTTAAGGATTGCTTTCAAACATGCACACAATTCAAGCTAATATTTAAGTTAAAAAGTTTAAAATATCAAGTACCCTACAAAAACACAGTGCAATACTGATACTCAAACTGTCAGATTCCTAGCAAGAAAGCACTGGAGATGACTGAAATTTACACAGTGTGAGCCCCGAGTTCCAGAGCTCCTATAACTTTTCCTTAATATGTTTCTGCAGAAGACTCCGAAGCAATCTTTCATGTGCCATGAAATATCTAGATAAATTACTCGCAAGGATGTTATCTATAAAGCTATAAAAGTACACAAACCATTTTAGGTTAAAAAATGGAGATAAAACAATTCACAGAAATGTTGCTAATTTTAAACACTATTTCAGTTAACACTTGGTTCTCAAAGCTCTAATTTTCAAACTACAACAAAAAAGCTATTAAATTTAACCATAACATTAAAACCAAGTATAGCAAATTTAGAAGTCCTAGTGCTTGGACTTATTTTAACCAATATTCAACCTGGTAAAATTCTAGTATAATGAAAGTTTGCCTGGGAATTCTTCAGAAATCATTGCAATAGAACTTAATTGGCACTGTCCATGTATCCATTTGAACTTCTAAGGAGAAAAGTTAAAACTACAAATTTCTACTCTGTAGCACATCTCTCTTCAAAGACTCAAAATCAGAAGATTCTGAAGACAAGAACAATCTGACTCAAACACAAACCAAATCTTCAGCTCATGATCATTATCCTCTTCTTGAAACCGAAGAACCAGTCTACACATTAAATGTCGGAAAACCTACCCTGCCCTGCACTTAACTGCAGCATCAAATGCAAATTCTATGGCAGGAAAAAAATTACTGGGGAGGGCAAGGGTTCTACAATTTCAGGTAAAGGATTGTTTATCCACAACTTAGCAATCGCTGTCCCACAGTTTCAATTTATAGAGAGACATTCCCAGAAATTCCCAAGAAGCATACAATCAAGATCTTTTTCAACTTTCTCATGGACATTTTTCAAAGTTCTATTTCAGTTATATAAGCACTTAACTCTGTTTTTTAAGAGTCCAAATCCTATCCCAATAATGCCTAATTTGTGGGAGAGACCCACATTACATTGAAGGAGGCGATCACAACTTGGAGGTTCAGAAAAGAAAACAAATGTGTGCTTTTGTGAGGACATTTAAAGATGGCTCCAAATCCCGCAATAGCTTTATTAAGATTAGAAAGTTATAAAAAAAAAGAAAAAACAAACTCTCAAATGACAGGCAGAAGATTACTATCATTTTTCCGAATTTGGAAAAACACCGCTGAAGTTGTCAATAGTGTCTCAGGTGATAGCAACACATAGCATCCAGGGACACGCCACCTCTCAGGGACATTACCTTCTAAGGAAACCGGCCTGCAGTACAGAGCCCTCTGGACGGCCCATACAAGCAGATCAGGAACAATGAGACCCATGCTGGGGGCACTGGACCCACAGCAATGGCCCACACTCCCCAATTCCTGTTCCTGCCCCCAGTGAACAGAGATGCCCGGCCGCGTCATGCCCAGCCACTCCTCTGGAAGATGAGAGAAGTCACAATGAAAAGAAGGGTCGTCTTCCCTGGGACTCACTCCAGGCCACCCAGAAGGGGCAGCAGTCTTGATCCCATCTTCTGAGGTAAACACCAGGATTTTCTGTTGCTCTTTGGTCTAGGCCATTTTCTCAAGTGACTCTGCCACCCACCCTGCGTGGGTCACCGTCTTAGTTTGCCACGGTTCTTTCTGGCTTTCTGGTGCCTCCTTCTTTCTAGGGCCTTTTTCTTAACTTGCTATTTTCAAGACCTGTCATTATGCGAACAGAGGTCTTCTCTGCCATTCCCCGGTTCACTGTGGTTCCTGGGTGTGGCTTACTGTTTCTTCATCTCCATCCTGCTCTCTCACACCAAAGGTTTTCTTGGGACACCTGGCAGTCCCTGGCCTTAAATCTGAGATAACAGAAAATCCAGAGGAGATACCTGTGTCCTAGAACACAGGCTTTGAACTCAGAGGACGGACTTCGGGTGGCCTCCCTCCTGGGAGGCTAACTCGCAAACCAGGATCAGTGCGTCTCCTGGACAGGTCTTCCAGGTGCTTCACAAATCAGCCTGAGGGACAAACGCCTGGGCAGGCGCCTTGGTGGCACCACGAGGTGAAGGCAGGAGCAGGGATGGAGAATGTGAGGCGTTCTGACCTTGGACATCCCAGCCTGTGTTGGTTTGGGGCGGCTTATTTTGCAAGGGGAACAACATAATACAAGACACATACTTTATATGATTATTTATAAGTTACCCAAAGAACAGTATACAAAAGAGTGCAGGAAATCTGTCCACACACTAAGACCAAAGAATCCAGCTGAGGGCCTGAGTCCCACAACAATGTCCTACATGAGTTGAGCTAAATACCCAGAGCTCATAATAATGCCTCCCATGAATCCAACTGGAGGCCCAGAACCCATGACAACGTCCCATGCAGGCCTGTTTCACGGATCTGCTGGAAAGGCCCAAAGGTCAGTGGTGGAATCTAGGAAGTCTGTGCCAGCAGGATGAAGGATCTGTGCTAGCAGGCTGAGGGATCTGCACTGGAGCCAGGAAGTGATGCTCAGAAGAACCAGGGCTCCCCCAAAAGGTAACACAGCCATCGCCGGCAACAGTGAGGTCCCGAGCTCCTCCAATGATCGGGATGATGGCCGAGTTCCCATCAGGGAAGCCAACGCAGCAAGCTCTTCCAGGAGGCCGGCAATGCACCATCTTCCCCTCCGGAACCAGGAAGCTGTGCTCAAAGTGAGGACCAGAGCTCCCCAAAGTGAACTGAAGCCATTCTCAGTGCCAGCGAGGTCCCGAGCTACTCCGAGGATGAAAACAGCCAAGTTCCTCAGGAAGCCAGCTCCCCACAGTCTCTCTCAGCTCCCAATAGCTTCTCCCAGCTCCCAACAGCCTGCTTCTTCTTCTCCAGATCTGCCTCTTATGCTGCTGGCAACAGTCCTCAGGTGGGCCTCTCACACCCAGCACCACTCACTCAGTTCAGCTGGGGGTTATAAGTTGACCACCAGTTATCAATCCACTACACAGCCCATACAGGACTCTCACCCACCTGGCATTCAAAGGCACAAGCCTCCAGGTTCCAAGGAGTTCCTGGGCTGCAGCCACCCCTACAATAATTCAAGAGACACCACACCTTCCTTCAGCTGTCATGCTCCCAAAAATGTTCTAAAATTTCCTTTCTGTGCTGGTCTCCCCTCAGTTCTTTTGTGTTGTTGGTCTATGTATTTTTTATTCTTTTACTAACACTATAATGGGCTCTCCAGAGGAAAAGAAAAGATAAATAAGAGTGCTCAATCCACTGAAATGCCTCTTGGCAAACAGGAGAACTACACCTTTACAGTGAGATGTCAGAGAGTGGCCTTTGACTTGTCAGAAAAGGATTTTTTAACACTGATTTAGCTAAAGAAAACAGGAAGCAACAGTAGCTCTTCAATTATAAATGGAAGCACTTAGTCCTACCACAGTATTAAGAAGACTACAGAGCTCTGTCCTATGGAGAATTTCGAAGGAGAATCTGCATTAATTTTTCATATTCAGCTCAAATTAAATTGTTCCTACAAAAAGGAGGGTAGATCATAAAATGGTTCAACAGGATGGAGAGGCTCCCACTCTGTGCAGGGGACCACATAATACACAGCTGATGCTGAAACACACAGAAAAAGTGTCCTGGTCTTTAATAAATACAACCCGAAGAAGACATAACTGATACAAAATGTCATATGAATGAAACACATTCATGTGCACACACATTCATTAGTACACGTTCAT